AACACCACCCACAGCCACCCACCCACCACCTCCCCATTATGGTCAACCCCCTAAAAATTTGTAAGAATATTTTTTTTATTAATAAAAAACATTTTTATATAGATAACTTATGTAAGATATAATATTAATAAAATAAAATTTAATTATTCTCCATCGAAACTCTCTGAAACAAGCAAGAAAGTTAAAAAATTGGGTTTGCCATACCTAGACACCAACTTCAATCATTCTTCTTCAGGTTCTGCTTCCAAATAAACACTATCCAAATCAAAGAAATTGATTTCACCATCTTCGTCTTCCTCCGTACTTTCAATATCGTTTGTAACATCGGAATTCATATGCAGCTAAACAGTGATTTATTGAAAAAGGGGCAAAAACGGGCAAAAAGCAATGATAACACCTGTTTCTTTATCATTTTGTTAATACATTTATATTACAACCTTGCGTCGATCGGCGTAGATTCTTAACTAAAGCTTAACAGAACACAATAACTTTTGTTAGTTTTCGGCTAAAAGAGACATACACAAGACATTAAACAACAGGACAATGCAAACAGTTACAACACAATTTGTTTTGAGAAGTATTTAAGCATACCTTGACGTAAATTTTCCATATTTTTGTTTATTTTTTCGCCCTCTGAACACTTTGCACGACGATGGGAAACTTTGGAGTAAAATTAGCGCGCTTTTTTCTTAGAGATGAGCACGTTAATCGATAGACTTTGATAGGCTACAACAAATTATCGGTGGCACGTAAAATTTTTTTTTAAATTGTTCTAATAAGTTTAACCGTTTTACTATTAAAATAAAATATTTGTTTTTTAAATTAGTAACTTTTATTTTTTGCGTTTATGCCAAAAAAACGGACTTTTTCCCCATAGTGCAGTGGACTAAGAAATTCGATGATTCTTTGAAAGACAGATTTAAGCCTTTTGAATTAGTAATTTGATGATGCAGAAGAAGTTAAATACCAAATAAAGCGACTAAGGTCGAACAAAGCCCTTGGGCATGACAGCATTTACGGTAAAGTAGCTAAAGCTTTGCCAGTAGCAGCTATTTAGTTCATTACGCGTATCTTTAATGCTATGATTGTTCTTTCATATTATCCGTAGCAGTGAAAGCATGCGATTGTTGTTATGATCCCCAAGAAAAACGTCTCTCCCTGCTGTGCAGATTCTATAATTTAGTGTTCATATGTTCCAGGATGCAATTCCAGACTTAGACGCATTGACTTTCAAACTGCTCAATCTTTGTAATTACTACTTTTTGTTAATCTCAAAGTATTTATTTAATATATAAAGCTATGAAGGGCTCATTGGACTTGAAAAAATATACAGGAAATTTTTGATTTGATGGACGTTGATGCACTACGAGCAGTACAAACAAATGGCCCAACGAAACCAAGCACATGCTTGTTTCGCGCCCTTTTATCAATTTGGGCAAAAATGCGCGTTCGCGAGGAAGAATAAATATTAGTTTTTAGTACCGGGATAGGAGTTGAAATGCAAATTAAATGATAAAGGATGTTATAATTATTACAAAGAACGCGAGAGGGCTCGTGCAGACTAAAATTTGATGTACAACGTGGTAAATTAAGAGGCTAATAATTTCGTGTTCATCTAACGGGAACATTAAAAGTTAGACGGCTTACAAGTTCTATAGAATCAATATCACTTTGCATAAAAATAGTACCAAGCATTATTCTACGATTTGCAAGTGTTTGTTAATTAAGCAATAATAATCTACTATGTAGGAAGGTAGCCTTACGTTTTGATCCCAGTTCAAATTACGAAGAGCAAAAAGAAGACATTTTTTTTGTACTGTTCCAAACCGAAGAACAATATTCCAATATAGGACGGACAAGGGAGGTAAATAGTAATTTTGTTATATAAGGGTCGTCAAATTCTTTTGACTAACGCTTTATAAACCCAAAAACACTCATAGCTTTTTTGACAGTCAGCATTATGTGGCAGTCAAATTTAAGCATCGGGTACAGAAGAACGCCTAAATCATTTACTGAATATATTCGGCCAAGTGGCAAGTTCTGAAGCAAATAACTTATAAACGTTGGAGTAACCCTATGAAAGGACATTACGTTACATTTCAGGCAGTTAAAATTTAAGAGGTTATACTCACTGGCACTCCAGATGACACGTGGATCATTTTAGAAAGGCGATCGGTTCTGTAGGTATTAAAGTTGTTTGACAGAACATCAGAGTCGGTTATCTCTGGTTTCAGCCAAGTTTGTGTAAAAGCTAAAATATCGTCCGTTAATGCCGAGGAGTCAGCATAAAGCTTGGGTAGCTTTATGTTAAGTCCTCTAACATTTTGGTAAGCCAAGAATAAGTTTTTTATCACCATGGAAGGCCTGTTATTTGTTCTCGGTTTATTAGGAACAAATTCTTTTATAACCAAATCATCATTAAGCCAAAAGCATTCAGATATCAGTAAACCAGCGGTCGGCACACACATACGATGACATTTTGTTTTATATATGTGTGAGTAATTTCCACTGCCCAGCGGGAATGTGAGAAGTTGGTTTTTGTGTTCTTGAAATCCTGTTCCTTTTTGCAGGCGGCGGTGTAGGGATAGATAATTTCTGAGTGCTAAATGAGGGTGGGTTTCTGAGTAGCATCAATATCAGGCCATTTATGCGCTGTGTGATTTCTGTGGCACTATGATTATAATATTTTTTAACAAAAAAATCACCAACTTATAATATTCAAAAATCCTATGATTTACACCAAAACCAAAAGACTTTTTCTCACATTTAGTTTTAATTTTTAGTAATTTTAAAAGTCGTAGAAAAAATATTAATAATTGTTAATCAAAAAAATTAAACTATATAACATTATTATCATAATGTCTATAATGATAATATTAATTTATTTTACTCAACATTTTTCAAATAATAATAAGGATGAATGTGGAATTCAACCAAATTATAGAGAAAAGCCACGGTAAGACGATTAAAATATTTGATCACATTTATCAAGGAATTACATTAAATTCCAAAGAAAACTATTGTTGTTTTTTACATTTTTAAACATTTTCTGTGAAATAAAATAATTTGATCGTCAGATCGTGGCCTAAGCCATTTTTAAGTGTTGTTAAAATATAAAAATTCGTGTTGGTGGTATTGATAACACGAAAAATGCCTAATATACCTATAATATACGTAACCTTTAATGATTACGGTCCCTGAAAAGTATTGTTTAAATATTTATTCGGCGCCAAAGTGTGACCCAACTTTACAACGAAATTTACATCACATTTATCTGCATTTTGTATGGTATTATCAAGAATATAATGCAGGGTCACATCATTTTTAAATTTGTTGGAAAAAGTGAAAAAAAAGTGAAAATAGTTAATTTTAATCTAAAAAACAATAAAAAGGTGAGTGATAAAATGAATTTTGTCTTTTTATAACCCTTTTATCAGCGGTACAAAGGTTAGTATCACAGATATTTTCGCCATGAATAAATATACGCCTCCGGATGCTATCTTCAACACAAATTCTGCATTTCAGTGACACTTGAAATGTTTTTAATCTTTACCAGTGGTAAATGGTGTGAGGTGTTCATTAAATGGTTGTATAAATAGTACTTCAGTACTAACTTAGTTGTTTAACTTAATCAAAATATTACATTTATTTCAGCCAGGCCGACTGAGACTTCTTGGGACCAGAAGTGTTGCGCCTGCGTTTGTCATATTTTATTTGTTCTTCTCATAGTTTTTGATATAGATACCCGACATATAACAACTGAACAGAGGGTAAATGATCGGCCATGGCAAACCAGGCATAATTTCTGGAGAGATCCTTTAATTTTGTGCGGAGACCTAATAATGGTAATTACTCTTATTATTATTCCTGGTCTTACATTCATATCTAAATTATGTTTGATATTTTCAGAAGACAGACAAGAAATGGATATCTAAGTACTGCATTCGGCCAAGCAAAACCCGGGAATGCTTCAGGCATTAAAAATTTGTAGTTCCAATGCTTCGATTGTAAATATTATTAATAAATACACAAACAAATATTACAAAAAACATGATTTTTATTGTGGAAAATCAGATACTGCAAAGCAGTGCAAAACCAAAACTGCGAGGGTCTGGAAAAACCAAAACTGGGAGGGTGTAGAAAAACAGATATTGCAAGAGGAGGAAAACCATAACTGGGTACGTGTGGAAAATCTATAATGCGGGAAGTCGAAAAACCAGTGGATTTTGTCCTGCATTCTTCTGCCAGAGATCCAGATAGAAACCTCATTTCCCCCTTACTTTTTGTGTCACCCCCGTGTATTTTGAAACCAGAGATGGAAGAAATGTAAGGGGTGAATGAGGTTTAGTCCCTTCCGCTTCTATGGAGAAACCTCTTGAAAATATGTTATTTTCCAGAGGAATTTTCCCGGTGGGTGGGCAGCTCATAGATGTGTGTGTGTATGCAGACTGTTGTTCGACAGTGTCCGTGTGAGGCAGCGGATGAGCAGAGCAATTCCCTATGTTCACTTAATAGGACGCTGCCGACCTCTGCTTTAAACATACCAGGCGGAGCAAAAATTTTAAAAGACGATCTCCACATCAATATGATTGATTATTTGCGGATGACAGGAACGCAGTGACTCTGGTTAATAATAATAATAATAAGTGGTACAATTCATTTTAGTTGTCGCATAAAACTCGGAATGGGTCAAAACGGGAGTTGATCAGAAGTAACATTCCAATTTATGGACGTTATCAGGTGAAGTGAATCCACACCGCCAGTAAGGAGCTCGCGTAGGAAGTACGCTAGTACATATTCGACGGTCCTTTAAACTTAGCAGATTCAAAAGACGCAGCCTGTCTCTGTAGGAAGGTAGTCGGCTTATAGAGTCCCAGTTCAAGCCACGTAAGGCAAATAGGATAAACTGCTTCTGATCAGACTCAATAACATATATAATTAAATTACCATTAATTAATTATTTATTAATATAAAATTAAAGATATTAAGGTATATTTCAGGTGGTGGCCTTTTCATTGGATCAGCTGTGTCCTTGTTATTTTTTAAAAGACGAGCATGGCCTTCATTGGTTGGCGTTGGATTTGGAATCGGCGCCGCATACAAAACATGTGAAAAGGAAATAAATTCCTTAAAGTGAATGTTGTACCATGTTAATTAAATGAATCCATTAAAATTGATTTTTGTAGAATTACATTACAATTGCAGCGATTTCAAATGCCTAATTTTTTGCACACATATATATTGGAGGACAACAAGACTAACCAAATTTCCTAACCTTTAAAAATATAATTGGCAATGGTCGCGTTCAGAGAAACAACATGATACCTGATATATAGATTATACAGTGGGTAATTTCATTAGAAACATTTTTGTAAAAGTTTAACGTTGAACGATGCATTACTGAGGCTCAGATGACACATTCAATTTTATAGCGTCAATTTATTGTGACAATTTTTCAATTTTGTGAGTTTAAAGAAGTGTCAGCGAGTCAGGATTAATATGATATTGCGCCTTTATTAGTGGTGTAAGTGGGATAGCAACCAAAAATATTTGATTCTCGTTTGAAGTTCCATTAAAGAAAAATTGTTACAATAAATTTACGTTAAAAATTGAATGTGTCATCTGAGCCTGATTGAGATTCTCGATTCACAGCTTGAAAAAACATGGTTTGTTTCCAGTAAATTTAGATTTAAGTTCAACTTATGCACGCGCGCGTAACACGGTGCGATGGACCCCGCACTGTGGGGCGCCTAGAACGAAAAGCCTGCCAAAATGGTTTTTTTTTTTTTAAGATTTTCGAAAATGTTGCAATGCAACTTTAAAAAAAATTCAACTCTCTATACAAATCCAAAGGAAAGAGTGATCTGTGATGAATGGTTCTCCCACTACAGATTTATAAAGTGGATTTTTCGAAACATAATTTTAGCCAATAAGAAAAAAATTTATTTTTACAGATCTTTGAAATTTTTCTGAAAGCGCCCAAGGGCCTAAGTTGTATATGTAACGATTGAAATTTTAAGAGAAACCAATTCTTAAAATATTAAAAAAACCATAAAAATTTTAGATATATAATTACTTTTTTAAAAGGGGTCCAAAAAAATTGGGATTTTTTGGATATTTTTGGACGTAAAGTAGTGTTACACCCTAGATCCCCGTTTAATTCTTTTTTTTAAAAAAAGTTTAGATATTTAACTACATTTTCTGAAAAAATTAGCCTGCCCTTTTGTGCCTCTTCTGAGAAAACCGCAGTTTAAGTTAGCAAGAAATGTTCATAATTTGAAATATCGTCAGCCCTGGTTATCCGCGCGCCCTAACATCATGAAGATATTTTACTTATGTGAAGGTATTGATCAAGATAATGATAAATTAATAAACAAATTTGGGTTTAAAATTTTAAATTATGTTATTTTACTATAAATACAGATATGTAATAAATACCGGTTTCTACCAGTTTTTTTTTAAATCAGCTATATTTCCTTGATTGATTCTATGACATCTATAAGATATTATTGACCAATTAAAAAAAGGTAAGCATAGAGCTAAAATGATAAATTATGCCTTAATCCCAATTTATATGAACCAATATTGAAATAGAACCGAGACATTCCCCTTTGTAATAAGCGTTTATATGGCAGCTATAAGTTATAGTTGACCGATTTGAATAATTTTTTTTTTAAATCAAGTTAAATTAAAAAAAAATATTGGGAAACTTAGAACCCTATAACTAATTTATTTATATTTTTTTTCTTAAAAAATTTTTTTTTTTCTTAAAAATTTTCTACAACAAAAAAATTTCACTAAAAAAATTCACCTTATGATGTTTTTTTTACATATTTAATTGCCTTTAAGAATGCCCCATCAAAAGATATTCGCTATAGGGCTCCGCTGATTTAAGGCAGACTTTTGGCTTTTTCGCCCCACTGTGCCCCGGTTCAAAAACCGAATAAGTCAAAGTAAGTAAAAAGTTTTTCAAATGTATTTCAAATAACATTTCCTTTATAACTTTAAGAACAAAAATGTATTAAAAAAGTTAAGTTGCTAGTTTACTACTTACAAAAAAAAAAAATAAGTTGTGTTGTGAGCGGGAATTGAAACTCGTACCCCCAAACACAAAATAATACCAGAATCCTGCACCTTGGCCCCTGGGCCATGGCCTTATTATTTCCTTCCATGCTTACAGGAGCATTCAAGGAAATTTACTTTTGTACTAAAAATAAATTTAAATTTAAGTACGTTTTGTTCTTAGAGTGAGAACAGCGGTCTTAAAAATTCGTTCTTAAAATAATTCCATAAATTCTTATAATGATACCAAACGGTATAAAGCTATTTTTAAGACTCAAACAGACACGTTTTCAGACACAATCAGAACAATTTTTTCCCTGTGTATACACAACAAAGATGGCGATTTCAGTAACAAAATATTTTTCCATTTTGACCAATCTTTTTCATTGAAAAGTTACATAAAATATAATTCCTACTGACGTAAAACCTTGCCTTTAAAGTAGCGTCTTATCTTAAAAATGGCTGTATTTAATTGAGATACAACATATGGTTTGCGGTTGCAGTACTTTGTCAAAATAAATAAAGTTAAACCATATTTAATGAAATTTTAATGCAAGTTTTTTCATTATCATTATTAATGGTAATGGAAAAATATCATTGGCATTACTTTTTCTCAAAAGTAATGAAATATTTTTCACTAGCATTACTTTTCTCAAATGTAATGAATTGAATTTCCAATTTCATTATCAGGGGTGTCACAGAAACCGTCGACGGATTTGGGGACGGTTGGTTTAGAAACCAACCGACCAAAACCGTTGGTGTCACAAAAACTCAGGAGATTTCCTTTTTTCGGAAAATGTACCGAAAAACGACTAGGGCTGGATGCATACACTAAATATCGAATATTCAATAATTATCGAATTTTATTTTACTTATTTGGACTATTTTCCAATAAGTTTTAAACTTAATTTATGTTTTTCTAGCAAAATTACAAAAAGAATATATGTTTAAAGCGCATATTGTACATAATAAAAGAAAAAAATTAAAAATTTGAATTACCCGCCAGGCTACATATTGCAGCCCTGAACAACGGTTTGCCGCGGCTGCGTTGGTTTATTTTCATTTCTAAGTTGGCAAGATTTTTAAAAGCGAACTAAAATGCCGTCTGCTCTAGAGTACTTGCGAAGGCATAAACTGCGAGAGGCTAGGACGCAGAGGAGATCCTTACAAACGGTTTTACATGGACTACCATGGAGATTTAACTCATTGGCCAGGCCCTTTCACAAAAATGCGGCCGCCCTGAGTAAATCCTTTGGCAATGTCGATATGATCGCGAATGAATCGGAAGAATATGGTGTCTTGCGCTGGTAACCTATGTTTACCCCTGAAAATTAGCAAAGCTTATTAGTTTAAATTAATAATAAACAAGAATGTTGTACTTATTTATGCGGTTATTCCACTACATTGTTCGGGTCATTCATTAGTGCAATTTTTTCTCAGCATATACAATTTTACGTAGGTGCGAGCAAGACAGATATATGTCGGCTGCAATAAGCAATCAATGAGCAAATTGTAAAAACCTATGGGCACTTTTGGTATTTTTTTTTTTGGTATTGTAAAATGCCTCAATACGGTACTACCTGAACCGATGAGCAATGAGCAAAATTGAATCTAAAAAGTACAATTTTGCTCATTTATTGGGGCTACTGTGAAATGGGATCAATAATAAAAATTGATTTGATTTTTTTTGGTTGTATTGCCAAACCTTTTGCGTCTAATAAGGTGCTATAAACAAATATGAACAATACAAAAATTATTTTAGTGGCCTAATTACTCCGTTGCCAACTAAAAATAACTCGCATATTTCTATATAAAGACATAACTGCGTCTATAAATTTATATAAAATTGCCTTCCTAAAAATTAATGCCGGGTATGATAAAACTAAAAACAATTACAGATGTACATTAAACAGCCCAAAACAATTTAAAAACTTGGTAAAAGTGTATGATTTTTTGGCAACACACACTATTAATTTTACAGCCTTCAACCTTAATGATTTAACCAGTCAAAGTTATTTGAATTATAAATTTTAAATTTAACGTCTAAATTTGAAGTGACCATGCCATCTTATCCAAACAAATCCCAAAAATAGCATATATATTTGTCCCTTTCTAAGCCTCCAATGAATGCTCTAGTGAATGAGCCAAACAATGTAGTGGAATAACCGCATTACTAGACATCTGCATGAATATCAAAAAATACATATTCGAATTGACAATGTTCAAAATGAGTTGAATGAGTTGGAATGTGTAGGAAAACTGGCTTGAATAAATAAGTGTACTGACGTAAAACTCAGTCGAACCAGAAATGGTGATGGAAAACGAATCGAGTAAATGAGTACACGAACAACTCAGACGAATTTATTTGAATCCATTCGAGTTCTTACATGACGTCATAAGGGGCTGTTTATATATTACGTAATCTAGGGGGGGGTTCCACCAAATGATTACTCTAGTGCAAATTTTTTTTTTTTTGTATGAAGAATTGATTACATGGGGGGGGGTCAAAAATCGTCGAAACTGTGATTACGTAATATATGGACAGCCCCTAAGGGCAAAATGGAAAATTAAATTTGTTTTGAAATACTTATTACTTATTACTTACATAAATATTTGGCTTTTTGTCTTTTTTTTAAATTACAAATCTACCTTTAGTTTTAGCTCGCCACTGAATCCAACCATGCCATTTTCATATTTAAATCCTAAGAATTCGCGGACCAAGGAGGAGAAGTACAAAATAGTGTAGTGAAGAGGCAGAATGGAATGGTCTTCCTTGGACCGCAACTTCTTAAGAATTTATCTAACAAACTCCAGGATGACAATACTAAGAAGTCGCGTTCCAAGGAAGACCATTCCTTTCTTTATCTGTGGCGATAGAGGCAAATTTTTTGGTTCTGGGATATGTTCATAAAACTAATTGTTTTTCCATATTTTTTTTTAATTCTCGTGGATTTTTGCATGTGTTTTGAGTTTAAACTAAGGGGAGCTTGGTAATTTCGAAAATAAGAAATCACAAAAATACTTATTTATAGACATACATATATGTATATCAAAACAAATTTAATTTTATATTTTGCCCTTATGACGTCATATAAGAAAATCGAATGGATTCGAATAACTCGAATGATTTCAGCCTATTCAAAGTC